ATAGAGTTAGAAAGCACATTCTCCTTATCTGACTACATGCATGTGAATGTTTGTTGTCAAAATGAGGTTTTATTGTCTCTCACGTTTTACACAGTATCGACAGTACACACAGTCAAGATAACACAGCTTACATAATTCAGTGTGGATGTTCTAGTGTTTTTATGTGCTTTCTCTCAGAGGAATTAAAAAGGACAGCTGTTCTAGAAACTCATTGTTCATTTATCTAATTGTTTTATTGTGTGTATACTGTATATACCTATCAAATCTCACCTTGTCTTCCTTTCTACTCTTTTTCTATGCCCTGCTTTTCTTCAACCTGACCCGTGTAAATACACCTCTCTGTGACAGGAATGTTATATATGGAGGAGCGTGTCTCAGCAGGTTGGCGTAGCTTGTATTGAAATAGATGTTTGAGTTAAATTAATATGCATCCATCATCACAGCAATGAAGGACAGTATAACTTCTAGGACAGATGGGGGTAGTGGTGGGTGAAGTTTATCACGTTCAATCATGTAAGATGACTTATGAATTTAATTCATAAGTATCAGTTTGACTCCTGAATTTTATTAATCACCTGATAGTTCAGCTTGTGCTAATGCTGATGGTCTTTTACCAGCAGCTTCTGCTGGGGAGAAAAAGTATTTTAAGGGGCCAGTTCGCCAGAAAAATGTGAATCTTTTAATGGCATTTGGTTTGTGGTCATTTCGTTTGACACTTTATCAAATGAAAGGACCACAAACCAAACCAAATGTAAAAAAAATAAATAAAAATCTTTTGACAGTTATAAACCACAGAATCTTGTTGTGAAAAGCATTTATTGTCCATGTCCAAGCAGAAGAAGTTCACAACAAGATAAATGGTCAATTATCATGCTGATCATTTTATATGAAGAGACTTAATATTTTTTTCAAATGTCATTTTGTAAGAATCCTGCAAACATAGCTCATTCACATTCGGATGAATTACAGCAAACACATTTATACCTTAGCAAATCCCTCTGCTGCTTTCTGGATAGTTACATTCTGGGAAAAACATGTTTTTCTGGGTAAAGAGACATTACAGAAAGCAATTCAGATTAGAACAACTTCCCTCTAAACTCTCCCTCCACCTTGACCGGATCCCTTCTCAACCAAGATCTCGAGGGTCAAACAGGCCTCAACAGGCAGAGTCTTCCTCAAGGTTAACATACAAATAGTAGGTCTTTACCCCTGACCAAAGACATTCCCTTCAAAACATGAAATTCAATGTTTGCTGGCATACTTGAGGAATTCCACAGTTCACTGACAGCTTTTTAAAGCCCATAAGTCTTTTCTTGTTGATCAGGGCTTACAGCTTTGCTGTAGTTACAAAAAGGTTTGAACTGAGAGAGATACAGAGAGGATAAGAACACATTTAAAGCATTACCTCATGTGTTGTCGAGGAATGTGCTTCTCAGGTGAAAAATGCATTGCCCCGAGCCATATTATACAGCAATGAGTGAAAAGGAGGAATGGGAGGGGGAAAGGTGCACCACAGACCCCGAGCCTTTTAATCAAAGTCTGTTTGTCTAAGTCTTATGTTCGTGCAGCTATTTAATCTGTTTCATCATTTCCATAACAGAACTTTGTATGCTCTGAGTGCATAATTTATCCTTTTTCTCTCTTGCACATGCTTGCAATCACATGCAAAATAACAGTCACACACACAGACACACACACACACACACACACACACACTTGCACAAATAGCACAAACACCTGCCTGTGGAACTCGCTGTCTTCTTGCTGAGGTAATGTAGGAGGGAAAAGCATTCCTCAACCCTGTCTTTTTCTCTCCTCCCCTCACAGCATTTCATATCTTTTCAGAGGTAAAGTCACTCTTTCTGTACTATTGGTGTCATGCAGCATAGAAGCACTGAGATGTCTTAGCTGGATACTTGTGCTACCTCCCGGTTCTTCAGACTGCTGTGTTGGATGTGTTCTTGGATGACACAACGTCTGTACAAAAACATCTGGTATGTTGAAATATTAATCCTATGTTTCTTTATAAAGCAGCCTATAGTTCCTGAAATGCTTTTTAACAAACCCGTCGTTCTTACAAATGCTCCTATATGACGATTATTAAGTTTTTATTGACACTGAGATGTTACTGTGCAGTAATATTATGTATATTATATGAGTTGACACAACACAATTGGAACAAATGCCTCTTTGTTTGCAAGTGCACAATATGAAACTGTTTGGAAAGGATACGTATGTTTTACATATACCTGCTGTCTGTGTTTTACAGTAATAGAATTTTCAGGATTTTAACCTAATTTTTAGACCCACAGCTGTGAATTTGAAGGACAAAGAAAACATCCCAGGCAAGGAAAGGGTCTGTTAGCTGTAGCCAAAAATATCTATCAGGAAAAAACAATGTGTTTGAGCAAAATGCAAATGCCTGAGTTACAGGGTGTTGCTCTGTGGGGTTTTTGTGAAGACAAACTGTTCACATTTGTGATTGTTCTGCCCCCAAATATCCAATGGAACTCACATCTAGTGCTTATAGTATAGTATTCATAGTATTAAAACAGTGGAACATTTTTTTTCTGAAATAATTTACATAATTAACTGACTAGTGAGCAGTTTCAACCGTCTTATGCGTAACACTTAAGTATATAAGCAAACCCAGATCTGACTCCAGAATTAGAATCAGAAATACTTTATTGGTCCCCGGGAGGAAATTTGTTAGTGAATCTAGAGATATACATCAATTTACAGAAGCAAATGACACTGAATTATACATGCATATGTATCCTTAGTCTTTACATGAGTGAACATGAATCAGTTTGCCCAAATTTATATTCTGTGCCTGTTTTTTTCTCTCCAGCTCAGCCATCAAAAGCATTTCCTGGGGCATACAGATGTGGGCCGAAGTGTAAATATCCACTCATAGCTCCATTTTAGCAGCTTTATGTTAACTGAAGGTTCATCTGGCTCGGTTTAAACGGGCCACCACTGTACCCACTATAAAAGACTCAACAGATGAGGACTCATTCCCTAGTGATGCATGAAGGTCCAGTAGCTGCATTGCCTGTTCAGGAGCAACCAAACAGGCCTATTTACCCTCAGGCTGTGGGTGTCTCTTTGGGTGACCTGCGAGGTCAAGTTCCCCTCCTGACTAAGAGCTCCAAAAGCAAACGGAGAGCCATGTCTGAACCTGTTCCTCTGCTACATTGTGCTCCGGATCCCGTAGCCAGTCATGCTCAACGATGGAATGAGCTGAAGAGGGACATCAGCTCCCCCTGTAACACTACTAATCCCGACTTAAAGCAGAATGGACACCGTGAAAGCAGTTCAGGTCGGGACATCCAGGTGTCAGAACTGGGCTGTCAAGCTGCCGAATATTTGAAACATTGTGGAGCCGAATCAAATAAGCAGAAAGAAGGGACCATAGGGACTTCCTCATCCAATGAGGTTATTCCTGCCTATCCACCAGCCCTGGATGAAAGTACTTTCAACCATCTGCCAGTATCTGTGAATGCACCAGAGGATTCTTCATTGGATCTGCTCAGAATAGTTAAGCACAAGCCAAGTGCCATTGTGTTCTGTGATTATGATTATAGCCTTGACAACCAGGTGATCTTTGCCAGTGAGAGCTCTGATGGCGGGGAGTCCTCCTCATCCACCACTGAAGAGGGAGAGGGCGATGAGGAGGATGATTTTCCTGAGACGTTACAATATAAGGAATTCTTGGTCAGTCGGCACCGTCGAAACTTGAGCAAGAACAGGAAGGGTTTGAGGAAGAGACAGGACGCCCAGCCTAATAGCACTGCATCTGACTGGCAAAAGCCCACCAACGAG